TTCTTAATAATAGCTTGGGGAAATGTAGTTATTAAATGGCAATAGGCATATAAGGGAGCAATAACCTATGTATACAGGAGTCCCACTTAGTCCAGATTTCCAGAAATAGACGCAGAGACCAGATCTTATTGAAATGGTTTCTTTACTAGGGAATTTGCACACACATACAATAAAATCCAAGCATACACACAACAATACAGAACTAAGAAAATAAGACGGAAAGGTATAGAGACATTTGCATTAGCAGGAGAAGTTTGTTGGTTGGGCAATAATTACCTGTCCAATGAGATGAAGCGATCCTGCAGCGAAAAATGAAGGGAGACTAAAAGGGAAAGGGGCCATATATTAACCAACAATACACGTGGTAGACTCTGGGCAGCGCTTAAACCGAGAGTCAGCAAGGTAGGTTGGGGTCAGGCAGAGAGGAAGTGAGAGATCGAGCATGGGCAGATGCTCTCCTTTTATGCTGTAAAAAGGGGTTTGGGGGTATGAGCCACCAAGCACATAGTCCCCAGAAAAATGCTAGACGCTGCTAGCGCCTTAATGGGCTAAAAGAATAGGATTAAGTGTTGGGCAATTGACCCTGATGCTGGGAAAGATTGAAGGTCAAAGAAGACGGGGACAGCAAAGGATGAGATGGTTAGACAGTGTCATAGATGCAATGAACATGAAATTGAGCAAACTTCAGAGGACGGCAGAAGAGAGGAAGGCCTGGCGTGATCTGGTCCATGGGGTCGCGAGGAGTCGGACTCGACTGTGCGACTGAACAACAACAAATTTCCATCCTTCCCATTCTTTATAGCATTGTGATATTTCCCTGGTATCACTATCAATATTCAGTTGGATCCAGTCTCCCCCTGTGCGACTGAACAACAACAAATTTCCATCCTTCCCATTCTTTATAGCATTGTGATATTTCCCTGGTATCACTATCAATATTCAGTTGGATCCAGTCTCCCCACCCCCACCCCCATTCAGTTGCTGGACTTTATTCGCAGAGTAAGGCAAGGAAATTATTAAAAAACAAAAACTATATTTGCCAGCCTCCTGTCCATGTGGGACACAGAATTTTAGCAAAATGCTGAAATACACAGTAATATATTGCCATGATTCACAGGCTCTGCTGTAACATCTTTTGGTGACCGGAAGACAGAACTCTCCAGTGCATACCAGCAAGGGCCTCTGTTTGATGTGGTCTATAACCCATTCTACCTGCAGAAGCATCCACCTTATTCCCCAGATTTGATCAGACGCCACCCAGAAAAATCAGACAATGGAAAACTATATGGTTCAGGTAAGAAGCACATTCTCTTGCACTAGCAACTTTCTGCCACTTCTCTTTGGTACCTACGGGCAGATAATGTGAGCCAACATAAGATCTGGCTCAGAAGGTAATGTTGGATTTGGAGTTGAAAGGCCAGAAAGCCCCTGTTCAGCCTTGAACACAGTGAGCTTTTGGAGCCCATGCGTAATGGTTGTAAGGATGTGTGTTATAAGAGATGTCATACAAGTTTGATATTATAATTATTACGAGCGAAAACCCGCAAAGACTTGTGGGATGAATTTCCCTCTACCTCACTACTTCCTTCTCTCTCTTCTTTGAAAGCCCCCTATAGTGGTCAGAACAAATGGCTGTTGTGCTGAACATCAGTGGAAAAGGACAGTCTTTTGCATTCTTCCTCTTTGTATTTAGTGCTGCCAAAATGAATCTTCACAAAAACGAGGAAGCATGAGAGATGCAATATTGCTCCATCCATCCATCCGCTTACAGGGTCAGTCCTGTGTAATTACAGTGGTTTAACTATGGGCCAGTTCACACATTAGCATATGCATGTTGCAGACATTTGGACTCAACAGACATGTGCCTGGAGTTCTGTAATGGGAACCCAGTTACCAGGAGCATAAAGGCCTGATTCAGATTGGGACCTTTTAGTGTGGGGAGAAAGTGTTTATGTCTTCTCTTCTCCCACTCTGGGTGCTATTTTCCCAACATGAAATGGCCCTGGGATATATTTGCCCTGTGGGGAAACGTGTATGTGGAAACAATCCAGCATGACGTTCTCCTGCAGCAATTCCATTGAAATCAGTGGGAGTCCACACCAGCACTAGTGTAAGCACTCATGTAGCTCCCATGTGTAATGGGACTGACATCCTAGATTGTATTCTATAAAATCTGAGTCATTCCAGTCTGTAATTGACTTACAAACTGTCTGAAAGACCTTGAGGCACTACATCCTTACCTATCTGTTCTGCTGCAGCTTGTGCAAATGACTAAAGTGTTCCTGAGGGTTATACTAGGGTTATACTCCTTTCTTTCTTGTTCTCTTTTCAGTTTGTGACTTAAGGAGTAGCACATTGCCTGGCTCATCCACTTTAAGTCACTCTATGTTTGATCTCACAAGTCCGCCCCACCGATTCATGCAGGTAAATTCTTCTCACAACTTGAAAAAGCTGCACCCAGAACTTTGTTTTCTTTTTGTGCATTGTTAATTTTATGCATACAGTGCCAAATAATGTCAAGAATTTTGTGTAGCCAATGAACTACTTTCAGAAATTATTTTGTTCTCCTCAGTCCTGCTATACTGGTTCAAAATGTTTTTGAAGTGTAAATATTTTTGTTTGGTTAGTACAATCCTCTTATACGATTAATAAAGCATTATGCATCTTATTTAAGGATCAGAATAGAATAGTCCATGAAAGATGCATTTCTCTCCACAAGTGTGCTCTGTTCCCTGTCTGGGGAACAGCTGCTCAGCCCTTTGGCTTGTGGGGTCCTGCAAGGCTCCATCTTGTCCCCGACGCTTTTTTGCACATCTAGAGGAAATCCATAACCCTTTTCGTGATGCATAGACACATGCAATCTGAAATCAGATACTTCTCATAATAGTGTTGAGGTAATTTCCGGCAATGGTGAATCTTCTTTATTGCTTCAGTGGGATTTAAGCAGTATACGAGAATTATAGATAAACACCTCATGCTTCCTAGTAGCACAAAAGGCAAAAACATAGCTGAGCTCTACCCTACCTATTCCTCACTTGCAGTTCCTTGCTATTCATGCAGTGATTTGACAAGCCGTGCAAGTGTGCGGTAGCTGGTCTTGCCTTGCATAGGTGCTGCATTATTGTTGCCCTTTCTTTGCAGCGATACGATTCAGTGTCCAGTGTTCCGAGCAGCACCTCGTCAAGGAAAAATTCGCAAGGAAGTAACAGGAGTCTAGGTAATAAATGCTGTTTGCTTGTCTTGTTTTCCTAACAAACCATAAATTGGATGTTTAGACATGACTTTAGGAATATGTACTGCAAATACAGATTTTGTGTACTGAGCATTGATTACAGACACAGTCCAGAGCAGCACACCTCTGTCTGAAGATACATCTATATATCTAATTCTTGCTGTTTGCTTGTCTTGTTTTCCTAACAAACCATAAATTGGATGTTTAGACATGACTTTAGGAATATGTACTGCAAATACAGATTTTGTGTACTGAGCATTGATTACAGACACAGTCCAGAGCAGCACACCTCTGTCTGAAGATACATCTATATATCTAATTCTCAAGTCGCCCCCTGGTGTGCGGATACTTATTTCCACACATCGGGGGCACCTAGGGGGGAGGGAGATTTTTGTGCACACTTGGGACGGTCCGCAGGTGTGCACAAAAATCTAACCCCCCCAAAAAAATATCGGGGGGCCTCGCTGGTCTCCCCCCCCCCCCAGCTCCGAAGCGGCGGCGGCGGCTTGCACC